AAAAAAAAAAAAAAAAAAAAAAAAAAAAAAAAAAAAAAAAAAGCAACGTGCTGAGTGGGCAGCACTTGGCTTTGCCCCGCCGGACCGCATCGTACCTCCATCCCAGAGGACTGCGAATAAGCCATGAGTCACCCCCCTCACTGGGGCTCGGTTTCCCTCTCTGCCATGGGAACAGAGTCCTGATCTAAGAGATCACTGTCAGGATTTGACAAGGTCATCCTGTGAAGCCCTAGCTTGATGCCTCCAAGACCTGCTGTTGGTCACCACGGAGACCTGGGGACCCCCCTTGCCCTTCTCATTAAACACTCACTGAGCACATGCCACGTGTTCACCACTAAGGAAGCATTCTGATCCAGGCAAGCTTGCCTTCCTCTGTGGAAGCCACGTCACCTCTCTGCACCCGTTCTCTCAGTGGCCCCTCTCTCAGGGATGCTGGCAGGTTCGACGCAGTGAAGCTGGCAGGGTGCCAGCACATGAAAGGCTGCAAAGGGGCAGGTGCTGTCAGCAGCAGCTGCTGGCCACCAGGCAGTCCTGTGCCAGAATGAATGAGCTCAATTACAGAGCTTTCCTTTCAAAGCCCAGCTGAGACCTGAACCAGAGGACCCAGGGTTTTGGTTGGGACATGTGGCAAGGGGAAGTGGAAGGGAGATCTGATAAAAGAAAGCAGCAACAGGAAAAGGCAGGCAGGCTTGTTGGCCAAGTGGAGAGTCTAAGCTGCCACCAGAGTAGCTGGTGGCCAACCCAACAGCACCTTCTAAAAGGCCATTGCTATCCACAGCTCCACTACCCCACCTCTGTGTTCTATTAAAATCTTATCTCAGAAGGCCGGCCGTGGCTCACTCAGGAGAGTGAGGTGCTGATAACACCAAGGCCACAGGTTCGGATCCTACATAGGGATGGCCGGCTAGCTCACTGGCTGAGCGTGGTGTTCACAACACCAAGCCAAGGGTTGAGATCCCCTTATCGATCATCTTTTAAAAAAAAAAATCTTATCTCAGATATATTGACACGACACACTCTGTTCTCCCAAATTGATCGCTGCAGTCAAGTTATTTCTGTAAACTCAGCCAAGGAGCAAGGGGCTGCAGATGTAATGCAGCAATAGGAGCCAAACCAAGCTCCAGAGTTCAGCCCACAGACTGATCCATGTGTGGGAGGAGGATCGATCACACAGAGACTCATCAAACACAAAGCTGGAAGCTGGCTTCCTGTGCCAGGTGCAGCTGTGGGCTCTGCCCTGCAGAGTCAGAAGGATCCCTTTCTGGGCATTGCAGCAGCCAGTGTGGCTCTGGACAGCCTGGCGTGCTCGAGGCAGGCAAGAGGCATGCAGGAGAGGGCTGCGGGCAGTTAAATGTGAACCACTCCATTCCAGAGATCCAGAGGGGACCTGTCAGTGTGAATCTGCCTGAGAAAGTTGAATGCTCCAATGCCGAGTCTGAGGCCTACTGAGCATTCAGGCTGAACCAGGGGCGGGAGACAGCCAGCCGCCCACCAGTCAGGTTGAGGGATGTGCTGCCGAAGGCCACAGCCCTTTATAATGCAGTGCTGACAATCAGATATGACAGATAAATGACAGCTAACCTCAGAGAAGAAATTTGACTGCTGATAACATAATGTAATTTAACCTTGCAGATTAAACAACAGGGCCAGCCCATGGCTCACTTGGGAGAGTGCGGTGCTGATGGCACCAAAGTCATGGGTTCGGATCCCTGTATATGGATGGCCAGTTAGCTCACTTGGGAAAGCGTGGTGCTGACAACACCAAGACAAGGGTTGAGATCCCCTTACTGGTCATCTTTTAAAAAAAAAAAAAATTCTTATCAAATTACCCATAATTATAATATTTCCTATGAGGACATAAAGATCTTTGTAGTGATTTACAGAACTGCCTCTTTCTTCCCTGCAAAATCAGTGTGGAAAGCCATATCTGGAAACTGCTACTGAGCCAAAGCCTCAGGACACCCAAGAACTAGAACAGTGGGTTCAATTTATTTTTTTTAATTGAAATTGCATTGCTTTCAAAAAGAGTAAGTTTAGAAACAAGGTGAGAAAAACGCCACTTTAACTCAGTAAAAGCTGTGTCTGGGTGAATGTAATTGCTTTTGCTCATCGTGCATGCAAAGGCACAACTGGAGAAACGGGAAAACCAGTCTGCCTGGAAGTCAAGGTTCAAGCTGGGAAGCGGAGCGAGCTAAATCAAAGAGGAGGGGTGGGGTGAGCCCATGGCAGCCAGGCAGAGGCCTAGGACTGACTGTGCAGGCAGAGGGGAGTCAGGCAGCTTTCGAGCAGGGGCAGCAAACTGCTCCAGTCACTGCAGTGGTTCTCAGCTTTTTCAGACCAATGCCCACTTCTTAAAACAAAGATTTACTAATGCCCCATAGGATCCTCAAGTCAAAGTCAGGAAAGCTATTCTATATATACACAGAATTTCAAACAATAAATAATGTCCTAATTGTAATATGAAGGAGAAACAAACAAAAAAATAAATCTGTAAACTTGTGTTTCAACATGCAAATATTAGGGCATGCTCAGGGTGTGCTCCCAAGACCCAATGTCAGGGGTACAGAGCCTCAGGCCCCGCCCACACCTGCTGCCTCAGGGTCTGAATTTTAACAAGATGCACATGACAGATGCAGTTGAGAGATGCCACAACTTTTAACCTCTCTGCCAACACTGCCCACCATACACACCGTTGCCTTGGTAATGTGAGCTTCCAAACAATTTCTGGTAAAGTCCTAAGCAAAATATAGTTTTCTCTCAGTTGACAAGTATATGATAAAACTGCACAGAAAATACTGGGTGTAAAGAGGAGCTGGATTCCAGGCCGAGATGGTTACAGACAGGTCTTTCACCTTGATGTGTGCAGGAATTTCGGAAATTGTGCAAGACACAAGTCAATGCTTCGCTAAGCAGAACCTTGATGTACAATGCAGGGTTTCTAGCATTCCTGGCTTCTGCCTGTTAAATGTCTGTGACACCCCTCAATCACTGTGACAAGCAAAAATGACCCCCTAAAGAACAGACAAATCTGGCTGGCTGGTGAGCTCAGTCGGTTAGAGCACAGCCTTATAACACCAGGGTCACAGGTTCAGATCTCCACACCGGCCAGTCGCCAAAGAAAAATTTTTTAAAAAAGAAAAATTTTCGGGGCCGGCCC